CTTCGGCAGGGGAGTTGGACTAGATGACCCCCAGAGGTCCCTTCCAACCCTTACCATCTGTGATTCTGTGATCCTTGTGGTCACAGTTTCTGTTGGCTTGCGGGCACCCATGTGGACCAGCATTGTGGTCTACACCCTTGCAGCTGACCTGGCTGGAAGCAGCCATGGTGGTGGATCTGGTCCCTGGCTGCTCATGGTGCATCTTTTCCATGCAGCCGTAAACAGGTTCCCGGCAGTCCTCTGGCACCTCTTACCCTAAATTAATGGGGAAGCATTACAGCGGGCTGATAGTGCCACTCCATTAGGTTTGTCCCTGTGCTCCTCTCAAATCAATGTTCCCTCGAAAGTGGAGCCATTAAGCGGTGTGCAGCTCCCCGGGGGCATCGGGAGCCAGCTGCTTCCCTGTCCGGCGTGGGGGCCGCTGACAGCCCAGCACGGGGTCCTGGGGAGCTCTGCCCAACTGGCTCACCCTGCAGCTGGAAGCAGGGATTGGGGTGATGGGTAGCGGCTGGGGGAGGCAAAGTCTTCGCCTCATGGCCTGGGTCATGCTTACATGGAGGAGGCTAATGAAATCAGGGAATTAACGAGTTTGTTAATGAGCTGTGGCAGGGAAATTTAGCTTCAGCTGTTACAGTATCAGTGGCTTTGGGGGCTTGTAAAAGTTCAGGGCTTTGGGAGGGTTTTGCTTGCCTTGTGTCCCTGCGTGGCACGTTTTCAGTGGACTGGCAGATTCTCTCAAAAACAAACAAAAACCCCAACCCCTGTTGCCTAAAATCCATACTGCCGTCTGATTTACTTGTTCTTTTTTTTTTTGTGGCCTGGTGTTTCAAACTTCAGGCTGCTCTGGGACTGTGTGTGTGACATGAAACAAGAGACTGCACGGCTCTTGCACTGAATATACTGTAGGTAAGGACTCGGGTATATTTATGATCCCGCTGATAGCGTGCAGAGCCCGAGGACGAGAGCCGGCCGTTCCATTCCATCGATTTGCTCTGAATTTCGCATTCATAGTTGTGTGGCAGGAGGCAACCCCGTATTACCACTGCTGCTTGATGGTAGTTTAGCAAATGTGATTAGATATGCTGCCTGCCTTTCGCTCTCCCTCTTGGAGGCGTCCCACCTTGCCGGGGATCTCGCTGTCCTCTCTCTGCTGCTCCTGCCAAAGCAAGCGATGCCTGGAGAGCTGAAGCATCACGCTTTCCCCCCCACCCAGGGTCTGAGGTTTGTGTTGTCCCTTCTCTGACTGCTCTACAGTGGCATTTTTCTGGACTTTTTAAAATTTGGAGCTTGCTTTAAAATAGCAGTGGTTAGGAAGAGACTGGGAAGGTGGGTTTACATGTTCCTGAGCTTGCAACGTGGACTCAGAAAGGAGGAAACATTGAAGCAGTATTTCTGAGCTGTTGTCCTAGGACAACTTGTGGCCCAGCAGACTTTGGCAGATGGTTTGTGAAATCCTTCCCTTCCCACAAAAGCGCACGCGATGCCGCCCCTGCAAATGAGCAGGCAATCTGTTACTTCTACATTCTCTCACTTTATTTAAAGTTCACATCTCAGCCGGGTTTTTGTTTGACTGAAATGTGACAATCATTTCACCGTGACTTCGCAAGGCGGGCTGCAGGGTTTTTTTTCCTGAAAAGGTTCATTGGTGCTTGAATAAACAAGTAAGTAAAAACTTAGATGTGCTGCTTAAACTTTCCAGCTTCTACACCTGAAGATTTCATCTGTTGTCCCACGTCAGGGCTAACATGACCCTGTTTGTGGTTCCATCCCTCGCAGGAGCCTGTGGTACCCAGAGGCCGAGCGGGGTTGCGAGGATGCGGCTGAGCCGCAGCTCCTGTGCTGCAGGCAGGAGCCAGGAGCAGAGGGGCTGCGATGCCTTCAGTGGGGAACGAAGCAGCCCCGGTCCGCCCGACCGCTTTGCTGTTTGAAGCACGCTCTCGGGTGATGCCATTGTTCGCGCTGTCGCTCTGGCCCTCCCCTCCCATTCAGCGCATCTCAGCATCCTTGTGGAAAAAAGCCTTGATCCTGGACTTGCTCTTCTTGCAGGGTTCAGTAGGCTTTGCCAGCTGAAAGGCGAGCTGTGGAGAGGGAAGGGGGTTTTTTTCCACAGAGCTGGGGAGAATCAAAGGCAGTCATCACAAATGGTAGCTTAAAATATCCGACCTTTTCCCACTTCTCTCCTCCACTTTACGTGCCCGTGCAGAGCGTGGGTGCAGTGATGCTGCTTTAGTGGCGTTGCTTGTTCTGTGCCCGCTGTCCTGTACCTTTTGCATAGTTTGTGTTTCCCTCGGGAGGTTTCATGACAGGTCTTGTCTCTGACCTCCCCGCGGGCTCAGAGGGCACCTTTGGGGGTTGAGGTCTGCAGACCCCTGTGCATCCTTGCGCTCACCTGCCAGTCTGCCCATGGCAGGGACAGTGGCACCAGCCAGCACAGAGAGGACACAGGACGTGCAGACGCATTCTGCAGCAGTGAGGTCTCGGGTGTCCCAAAAGCCTTTCACCAGGTCTCCTCCTGTCCCGTCCTAGCCCTGGCTGCCTGCATCAGAGCATTACTGGCAAATTTTGTAAGAGAGGAATGAGTGCTGAAGGAAAACCCCAAAGGCAAAGAAAACAGCCCAAAATGTAGTGTTCGTTCTTCTTACTCCCTTCCTCCCTCTGTTTTTTTTAAGCCTGCCACGTGATTTAGGGAGGGTAGTAGGGCTGGTACATTCTTCTGCGAGAAGTGGGTTTGGCAAGTCAGAGAGGAAACACAGCCAAGGGAGGGCAGTGGACAAAAAAACCCAGGTAAGATGCTGCAGAAACTGCTGCCCTGGCAGCTGCAGGAGGAGCTGCTCTGGCAGAGGGAACTGCAGGTGCAGAAGGGACCAGTGGCAGCATCTCCTCTCACCATGCTGTGAACCAGAAACGGCAGTGCCCGGCTCCCAGGAGCTTTCTCTTTTACTCTTTGTTGTATGGCAGCCTGAGCAAACACACTGTGCTGCTCTTGTAATGAAAGAGGTGACATTACTAATTTATTTGTCCACCCAAATGTAGGGTGTAATAGGACAGAATGAATGTCTTCTCTTTACACATCAGATGCTTGTAGCTTTGGGTGGCGAGTGTGCTTTTAGCCACCGATGTGTGGCTAACTGGGAGTTTAGCTGGCTGTCTTGGTTCGTGTGGCATGAAGACAAATGAGGTGCTGTGAGGAACAGGCGTTTTATGGGTACGTGGCTGATTCTGAACCTGGACGTGAGCGGTGGGATGAGGGTTAAGGAAAGAGGGGCTGGTGTTGGCTGTGGTGCCTTTGAAGTCCCGGCAATGGGCTGAGTCCCCTTCACAACCCGGCATGGACGAGTCTGCAGAAAAGCGTGGGTTAAGGTGGTTTAAAAGTTGAGTTTCCCAGCAGCAGCAATGCCTCAGGGGGAGATCTCCTCGATGTCTCCTTGTCCCTCGATGGTCTCCCAGAGGAGGAAATGGCTGCAGGGACTGTAGCAGTGGCTGCAGCGCTGCTGGCTGAGTCTTGGGACATTGGCCGCATGGGAGAGCTTTAATGAGGTGTTTTGGATTCCTTCCCTCACTGCTGCAGCCGGTTACCGAATCATCTGTATACTAATGAGCTAATTTGTGTCATTAACAGAGCCCTGTTAATCAAGACCTCCCATGGTATGACTGGGCTGTAGCCATAATGCTTGCTTTATTTTAGGCCCTGATTTTTTAATTAGTAATGATGTTTATGATGCTGATCCTCGGGCACCTGCAGTGCAGGCCATGCGGATGCTGAGCTGCCTTGAGATGCAGAACTGGCATCTCAGGATTTACCTTTGGAGGGGAGGTGTTTCCTAAAAGTCTGGCTAGAGAGGTGAAGTGTAGAGTCTTGAGATGCTGCGGCTTTCAGTGAGGAAGGAGCAGTGAACATCTCAAGCCCGCTCCTGCCAGCAGGAGTTCAACCCAGCACCGGGAGCTTTGCCAGTCACGGCCACACCTCAGGAGTTTTGGTAGCCCCAGGGGCACTTTGATGCCCAAAAATCTTGCCTGAAGTTTCCTGCCTTCCCTCCCACAGGGCAGGTATTCATACAAGAGTGAGGTGGCATCCTTAGGGCAGCAGTTTGCTCTCAGGTGCTTGCGTGAGCTATGGGAGAGGCGGGGATGACAGGACGACACACCAGCTCATGTGCAGGTGCTGGTGTGCATCTCAGCTGTTTTCCTGCAGTGTTCCTCCTCCCAACACTTGCTCACACTGCTGTGTTTGTGTTTTCCAGATCAGCCGGTTATGTGGCCATGCTCAGCAGAGGCAGTATCGATCAGCCAGTTACCCCGAAGACCTTTTCGTTGACAAGAAAGTCCTGAAGGTGACTCACATCGAGCAAGAAGAAACTTTGTCAGGCAGGAGGAGGTGAGGATGCTCAGGCTGAGCACAATGCCCATGGGATGGGCAGGAGTGGTCATCGTACAGGATGGCCCCATGGAAGCAGATGGAAGAGCTCTTTGTTTCCCTTACCCATAAACCTGCAGCTGGTTTTGACTCTGAACATCAGAGCTGCTCTATGGCTGGCTGTGAAGTGCAGCGAGGTGTCTACATGTGTTTTCTCACCTAGTGCTTTTTTATTTTTTTAACCTGTAAAACTGCCTCCTGTGTTTCTTCTTTGTTTTGCTTTTTTTCAATGCACCAGGCACCCAGGTTCATACACCAAATGCCTTGTCTGGGTTTCTTGGGCACTGCTATAGTGCCAGAAATACTCACAGGTGTAGTTATAGGTGGAAACAGTCACTCTGGCCTGAAACTTTGCTTATAACACTCTGTGTGTAGGTAGGAGGGACTTATTTCACTTTTTCTTGTGCAGTCTTTTACTGTAGTTCAGGAATGTTAGCAACCTTTTACTGAATGTTCTCAAAGTGAAGCAGGTGCCTCTGCTGCTGGCGCTACACCCCATGCTTCCTTCCCTCTGTAAATAGCACCTGTAATTCAGTGGGCTCACACTGGTGTGTCAGGGAGAAGCATCTCCCCTCTGGATCTGAAAGCTCACCCAGAGACATGCAGTGCCTTTACTGCTGTCCTGAATACAAGAAATATCCCTGCAGAAGAGAAACAGGCAAGCTTGGTAATTTTGGGAACTGGGGATAGACTAAGTTGGGTGGATTTCTCTTTAAAGAGCAACAGGGCTGCATTCTTGATATGGTTCCCATGAGATATAGCACCAGGACTTGCATTCCTCTGTTGTCTCCACACGTCAGAGAGTTACACAGCCCAGGCTCTGCCGGAGATGTCCTTTGAGGACTGTGAAGTCTAATGAAATCTGCTGCAGTGAATTACGTGAGCTCATACCTGCAGATACGGAGGAGTTCCTCCCTCCCCTTCCCCTCCCTGCCTGGCGGCGAGCTCTGCTCCCCAGGAAAGTTTTCTTCAGTCTGTTCTCCGCAGCGCTGCTGGGCTCTGGGGGACGGCGAGCAAGGCAGTGCCTAGGATGTAAGGAGCTGGGCGCGACGGGCAGCGTAAGGCTTCTTCTGCTCAGGGTTTGGTGTGACTGAAGACCCAGGTCGTGCCTCATTTCGGCTTTCAAAATGGTTTTGGTTGGACCTCCTGCCCCAGTGTAAGCCCGGTGCAGGAGATGGCCGCAGAAGGTGGTTCATGCAGGAGGTGAATGTCTGAAGCCCCCCTCCAATTTGTGCAGGGGTGTTGTGGCTGAACTCTGGAGGGGCTTTGGCTCCTGATGCAAACCCCGTGTTTATTGGCGTGGGCAGCGATGGATGAATTGGTGCTTGCGATACCCTGGCAGGCTGCGTTGTGGTGACCCGAGGGGGAACCTGGGCAGCCCTCTGCCTCCGTCGGCTGCCGGCTCTCCGTGCCCGGGCCGTGTCAGTCCCATTGGGGCAGAAACGGGCTCCTCGACAGCAAAAAAGCAGCGCAGAGCAGCGCAGCGCAGGCTGCTGGGGCCTCTTCTCTGTGTTTCGCCTGCCCCCAGCTGGCAGCCGAGCCTTCCTCCGGAGAGGGAACCCCAAAACCCAGCCGGAGAGGGATGGAGGAGCCGGGGACCCCCTCTGCACCCTAGCCTGCTGGAGCGGGCTCTGCACCAGGGCTGCCGAGGTGCCCCCGGGAGTGCTCCCAGCTCTTGGTGCTGAGCCCTCATCATCCTCCCGGAGGCCAAGAAATAATCCCTTGCTAAAGGGCGAGACGCGCTGAGCCCAAGCCAAGAGACCGTGAGGCCAAGTCCTGCTTCTTTCAGTCCCTGCCCTTCATATTATCGTACTTTTTGTGCCATTTAGCTGGTTAAATCTGCCCGTGTTTCCCAGTGACAGCTGCTGAGTGCCCCGAGGGGACAGACCTGGGCTGAAGGGACAGGCACATCCCACTCCCGCAGCCCCCATCCCCTGTCTGGCGGCTGTCAGTGTCCCCGGGGTCAGTCCGTGCCCTGGCACCTCTGGCCCTCTGCCGAAGGGGACCCCGGGGACGGAGGCCCTTGGTGCTGGGAAGGGAGGGCACGGGTGGGGGTGCAGCCCGATTTGCATCCCCTCTGTCTGGCGTGAGCGCTGCTCCTGCCGCTCCTCCTGCCCGCCCGGGGCAGAGCCGTTTTGCTGAGTGTGACCTGTCCCTTGAATGCAGACTGTGACCCTACAGCCAGCCGAGCGTACGCCTTGAGATCGTGTATTTTTGGCAGTGCAGCATGAAACCCAGTGTTACCCATCTGTACAGGTCTGTGCTGAGAGTGTCTGCTCTGGTCTGCCACTAAAAATGCCACCGGCCCTTGCAGGGGTGTTGGATGGCCGATGTCAGCCAAAGTGACAAGGCTGTCCTTTCCTGAAGGGCCTCCACGGCACTCTGCAAAGCAGAGGAGACTGCTGGCAGCCTGACCACTTGCTGCTCAGATGCGCCCTGTGTATGCACTGCCTGAGCCAGCAGCACCTTGCCCTAGGTGCTGTGAGAGCACAGAGAGTGTGTCTAGCTTTGGCATGCTGCATGGCTGGGCTGAGGTTCTTCTGCCCCAGCATCCCTCCTGTCACCAGCGGTTTCACCCCGAGAAACACAGATTCAGCCCTTGACTGAATAACATCAGGGGACAATGCAGAATGCTGCTTGAGGTCAGAAATGAGACCGATGCTTCATGGTTTGTTTGTACCCAGCTGCTTCATTCTTGTGTTTGTGTGACTGCCTTCACTGGTTAAAATGCCTCAACCCCGTCGTCTTTTCCTCTTTTAACTGAGCACCATTTTTTCCCCCTTTCTTCCAGGGAACTCATTACGAAGCTGAAGTCCCACAGCAGTTTTTACAGCAGCTTGCCAGAGTACATTTGCAACCACAGCTCCGCTGTTCAGAACGACACTCTTTGCTGGAATGGACAAGAAGTCGTGGAGAGGTGAATCACGTCTCCTTTCCTCTCCCTCTCCCCAGCACTGCTTGTCTTTTGCTCACCAGGCGCAGGAGTGGTTTGTGGCCGGGACACTACTCCTTCGCTTCAGAAACCTTTTGCAGAGCCGGCATCCACCTGCGCTGAGCTCAGATGGATGCGCAGTCTGCAGGGAGAGGAGAAGTGGTGGTGTGCTGCCCTCCACTGAGTTTTCTGCACTCTGCTGTGAAAACCCCGCAGCCACGACTGGTTTTGGCCAGGGTGGGCTGGTAGTGGTGAGCCAGAGAGAAGAGACCAGCAGCAGCTCAGCGCAGTGGTGCTCCCATGGGAGGGTGCACCACGGTGCCAAAGGTAGCTGCTCCAGAGCAGCGATGGGGACAGTTGCCACCATGAACTGCCTTGGGGTGGGGATGCGTCTCCTCCCGTCTCTGTGCAGTGGTAGCAGGACAGCACGGCTGGCATCCCCTGCCCCATCCAAGGCGGACCACCTTGTTTGGCTTCTCCTTGGCCATGGCTCTGTGCTGGAGAAGGTCAGGACTTATCTCAGGCGGTGCCACTGCTGCCATCTGAGCATATTCCCACAACCGAGCCCTGGCTGTCCTCTCTGAATGGAGCCATTCACACCAGGGTCCAGCTCCTGCCCCACTCGCTTTTCCCTGCCCCATGCACCGGTTCTGAGGATGTCCTGGCAGTAACTGTGAGGTTAATGGAGACAGGCAAGTATGGGATTAATAGCATAAAGGGGAAGGAAGTGTTAACAGAAATGGAGACTTTTTCCTTGCAAAAAATGCCCCTTCAGGAATGTTAAAGAACATGGAAATGGAACTTGGAAATGTTTTTTATAATTATACGTAAATCTCTAATCACCCTACTTCGCAAAGCATCCTTTGCTATTAAGTAGTTTGCAGAAGGGAAGAAATAGAAATAAAATCAAGAAGTGGTGAAATGTAGAGATATTAATGATGACTTCTTGATCAGTAACCTCAGGTGGTAATTAGCCTGTACTTGCAATATTGACCTGAAACACTGAAGGGACCAAAATAGCATCAAACTATATTTTGAAAAAAATTGCTCAAGCATCTAAGATCACACACTTAATAAAATGTACTTGCTTTGCCTAGGGAAAAATCTGTCCTCTATCTGTACCTATTTCTGGAAAATCCTGAGTTTCCGTGCACAAAGAGAAGTACAATTGGAAAAAAAGATTATTTCAATACTGTCTCACTGACTGTTAATTAAAACTTCTTAAAGCAGTGCTATAAACACTGTGGCTTTGCAGGGGAGGACCTAGGGTGAGGTCTTTGCTTATGACAGTTCACTGGGGCCATGGCCGGTGGTCCAGGTCCTGCTGACCTGCCACGGCTGGGTGAAGTGGCAGCAATGGAAAGGTGCTGAGTTCAGATCCTCCTGCAAACATAAGTTCAGTTTTATTTGTAGATCGAACATGACTGTAGATGGTGGCCTTCTCCAGCTTTCTGCTGAGAATGCCAGTGGATCATCACCTGAGTCCCCTGCCGCAATGCTGCAGTGTTGGTGGCACAATGCGGCAGGTCACGTAGGTGCCACGGCATGTGGAGGGGCAAGGCGGGGATAGGATAAAGTGTGCCTGCACGAAGGGGGTTCCAAGATTTCAGACCCTGGCTGTTAAGTCAAGGATTAAATCCTCCTCTGTGCTTGAACAGAGCATGCCTTCCCACTCCTCCTTATCCCCTCTGATCTATCATGTAGGTGTCACCGTCTCTGCCAGCTCCTATGAAATATTAGTAGCATCTGTAATATTAATAATACCTGCCCTTGCAGGCAGATACTGGAGTTTTTTGCTGCAAGCAGAGAGGGGTGCTGAGAGTGAAATCCCCCATCGCCTTGCAGGGACATCAGTGGTGTCCTAGAGGGACTGGGAAGGAAAGCAGTGTGGGTGGTGTTTTGTGTGGAGATTTGGACACCTCCGTGAAGGCAGCGTGTCCAGGAGGGAGGGCAAATGGACATGCAACATAGAAATAGCTGTTGCCCCTTAAATGCATCAGCTGCCTTCTCACCTTGGGTTTTTAGCATCTGCAGCCATAACTCTTCCCAGGGTGACCTTCTGTTGTATGTGATGGTGTTTCTACCGATGAATGACAGGGAGAACTTAACTCAAAAAATCTGAACTGAGATAATGGTCTGGGGTGCTCCTCTCCCAGGGCCCATTTACAGGATGTGTTTCAAATGGAAGCAAACAAGTAGCTAAAATCAGCTCTAAAGTCAATTGTGTTGCTTCATGTGGAGCCAAAAATGACTGCTTCATGTGCTTGGACTTCCCAGCGTGGCGTCTCTGTCAGAGAGTCTGGGAGGATTCCTGAAAATCAGGAGCATTTCAGGTAATGGTGCTTGAGTACCCCAAACCACTAGTTTCAGTGTTTTCCCCAAGAGGGAGCCAAGCAGCTGTTCACCGCGTAGGAGCTTGTTCGCAGGCTGCTCTGAGGGTGTGCATAATGTGCTGGAGCGTTTCTGGTGTGCCCACAGCAATTCTCCTGCTGGGCTGATGTGCACTTGTTGCTCGTCAAACTCCAGCTTGCCACTTTTTACAAGAAACTTGGTGTTTTTTGAATCTCTAGTGTTCATTTCAGGATGCTGACCTGGTGGTTGTCCCATGTGTGTAACAGCTGTCAGAAAGATGGGTCAGATTTTCTAGCTTTTGTGCATATAAAATATACTTTATATCTTAATGTTTTCCTCTTGCTTTGTTGGATATTGGCTTTTGCAAGTCAGATCTTCCTGACTGAGAGCTGAGCAGGCTGGACAGGAGGAGATGCTCATGCCTTGCCCTTAACTTGCTGCCAGTGGTTGCTGTAGCTGGATACGTTTCACGTTGGGGCAGGATTGAGTTGCCTGAGTGTGGGTGCCATGTGCAGTCTGAGACCCCTTTGAGTTTCTGGGACATCCACAGGAAGATCTAAGACCACCCATGTCCCTGGGGAGCGGCAGCTGGGTCTTGGGGGAGACACCTTGCGATTGCCGCAGCGATACAAGGTGCTCACCCTAGGGATAGGCTAAAAAGCACCTGCTGGAGGGGAGAGGGATGGTTGGGTGGGTGCCATGTTTCCTCGTGTTTCCATGTCTGGTGCTGCCCAGATGAAGGATAAGGCTGCTTGGGCATTGCTGTGCCAGTGAGCTTGGCATGAGCATCCATATCGGCATCTCTGGGCTTTTGGTGGTGTTTCTGCAGGGCTTGTAGCTATTTACCTTTCACATCTTTAATGCAGTACCTGAGTGTTAATTAAGTTAGAGAGGAGCCCTAATCGTTTATCCGCTTCCTGACCTCTCTGTCACGACAAAATTTGCTGGTTATTCTAAGCCCTTTTCCTATAACACGTTAAATCAAGCCTGGAATAGCAACTTCACAGCCCCTTGCCAATGCATTCAAGTACTAGATAATACCGACAATGTGTATCCTGCTCTCTGACGCAAATGGTCCCTTCTGCACCTTGCGCTTCTCCTCTTGTGGTTTTTCTGAATCAGTATTTACTCTGTCCTGTTTATCCCAGCGCTTTGTTATCAGCAGAGTGTGAGCGTGTCCCTCCTCCCCACAGACCGGACGTGCTCAATGCCTTTCCACTGGGTCTCATTTCCCATTTTAAGCCTTGAACTTTCCTCCGTTTCCTCCTTGCCCTTAGCTCCCTCTGCCCTGATTGAACTGGCATGTTCAACTGGGCTTCCAATGCAATGCAGCTGGCTGGAGTATTTTAGTGTGCTTTTCTCCTGACGCAAGGAACCGTTTCAGTGCAGGGTCTACTTTGCTGGTTGTGTTTGTCAAGGTCTGACTCTATTTGAGCTATGTTCTTGTTTCATCCCTGGCTCTGAGATTTCCCACTGATGGAGCAGGGTTATGCATGCAGTGGGTGCACTCCTTGCCTGGTGCAGCCCCTTGCAGCTCCCCTGAGATTAAGAGCTCTGAGGAACTGCTTGACCACGGGCTTTCTACATCTTGGCTTGTGGTGGGGAAGACATGCAACGTGCTCTGCTGATGGGTCATCATCACTCATCCTGTTTTGTGTATTCTAACATTTGAACATGATTCATCCCTCATTTTCTTTTACTGAGTCTTACTTTGTGATCCTTTGTTCATCTCACTTCTCTGGGTTGGACCATCTAATGGCAGGAACTCATCCTTCTTCCTGAGGTTTGATTTGTGTGTTTGTAGTGTGATCGCCATCCCTTACGTGGGTTCAGGACGCGGGGCCTTGATCTGCCAGAAATAATGGCTTGCAAACAAAGGCAGCCGTACAAGGAATGTTGATTTTTGTGGTCATGCACTGATGTCTTATGCTGTCCTGTTGCTGCGTGGTTGAAGTACATAAGCCAAAGTGGGGAGAAAAAAGAAAAGGCAAGAAATTAATGCTTTTCACACTTCAAAGCATGCAAAAACGTATTGTGCTTTTATGTGACACCACAAAGGTTCACAGCAAAAGCCACGTGTGGCACAGTGCACCACTTGTGAAGAGCTTGTGAGAGGTCATGGTGCTTGGGTGTTCATGGTAGCAGGGAACCACACCTGCTGGATCTCTTTCTGTGCATCCTTGTGCACCTCTGCGGCTTTCCTGGGTTCAATTAATTGACAGGCACTTCCCTGAGAGAGGAAAAGACTGGATGTAGAGAAAGGGTGGGTGTGCAACAGCTTAAACCTGCCTAAATGAGGGTTGCCATCATGCCCTTCTTTGTCTCTGCTTGTCTTCATGCCCCATCCTCACGCTGGTGGTGTTGGGTGGTGAGAAGACGTTGTCCAGCCTCTGTTATCCTTATCCCCATCCAATGCAGAGAAAAATCAGAGGGTGATTCTTATCACTGGCGTCCTGACTGAATAATTAGCTCATTTCAAGACTTCAGCTTAAGTCAAGTGGGTGTTGAGATACTGAACTCTTCTCAGTTTCTGAGGGAGTTAGGCGTCTGGATCTCAAAGGTAATTTGAGCCTTATATATAGTATCAGGGGTTTGCAGCGTTTAATAGTAAAAGCCTATTAAAATCTAGATTC